TTTTTTACAAACCTACTGTGCTATTCACGGTGATACTTCTATCAGATGTGATTCCAAGTAATAAAACCAAAATCAGAAGTCACATGTAGCACTAGGTTTGGTAGACTCATATTGCTCTCTGTCATCTGGTAATTGTTTTGAAGGCCTGTAATCATGTGGTTTGATTCGACCGTTCTACATCCACAGCCTAAAATGAATAGACCCTTCACATTCACCCAGAATTCTTGGCGTACGTATTGATATGTTTCAGGGTCAGGCGAATAGATTTAATTATACATACTAACCCAATGTCTGCCATTCTGGGGGATGATATGGTCGCACGGCTATTCTATCATTACAACGAGAGTTAGTGACCCTGGTTTAATGTACCGCGCTCGAAACGAAACACTTGAGACTAATCGTGTTTGTTTGGCACAACAACAACAACAACGAATCAATGAACTAGGCGTAACAGGCGATCAACGTTTCCACTCCTTATGTGACTCATAGAATGAGGGGGGAAATGTACCAGCCATTCACATCTAATCCTGACCTGACTGAGTATTGCCTCCATAGGCAGCAAGATGGCTAGGAAAATAACCTGATTCCCAAAGCACTTAAGGGGCTTGAGCAAACTGCATGCATATTTTCCAACTTCCTTGAAGTTCTGGATAAGCCTCAAGCTCTACCTTAATCCAGGTTTTTCTAGCATTTCATTTGAAAGCCCGCAGCCTGGTAGTTCTATTATTCCAATTTTTATGTTGCCTAAATAAGTCTTACGGCTCAAAATGAAAAAAATAAGCTGCGGGAATTAAATAAGGGGTTCAGTAGAAAAAATAGTTAATTGCTTGAGGAAACGAACGCAATGGCGACTGAATTCTTCGAAAGTGTTAAAACCTATTCGCATGTCAGGTATAATGAAATTACCGGAAGAATTCAAAACAATATGTAAGAAGAGGCATACGAATTTTGGGGACATCATTTGAGCAGCAAGTCCAAAAGTAAATTCTGCATATGTTGTTGTAACTTATTTTCAAACATAGCTTCTGCTTGTTTTGTAACACTTATTGGTCTATTAGAGTGTCAGCAAGAACGGGTGTAAGATTCTTTATGCAGGAGCCAACAAGTTGGTTGACACGACCTATAATGAACCACTTACGTCTAGTGTCATCACCGACAGCTTGTTGGTACAATATCTAACAGCTGAGCACTATAGAATCCAAAATGTTTAGTCCTACTCCACAATGAGTAGAATGGCGCTTTTGGTAATCTCCATGTGCACACTGCAGTCCAGTGAAAGACTTGGATTCTCAAACCCCATCTTACCTTAGCACAGTACTGCTCTGAACATCATTCAGTTTTTGATACACCGTGATTTTACTGATAATTTAGTACCATAGTTTGCATACGGTTTGTTATAGTTTGAATGAATCTACGGTCCGGGTTTAGTGCCTCCGTGAGATGGTTTCGGAAATTCTCACATCCCGCGGTGTTCTGAAGATCCGGAAAACAGAATGACCATCTCTGAACCACCAGTGTTAACTAGACTAGTATTTCCAGGACCTCCAAAGAGAATCGGCCGTAATGAACATTTAAGGTAATCCTGAATGTTCCCATACTGTTTAAACTACACTCACCAAAGTCAGACCAATGATAGTTTACACTGTCTGGTTCTGGAAGTCACATGATTTTATCACACACCCTAATGTTTCCTAGTACAGGAGTTGCTGTCCCAGTGATGTTCGAAGACTACTACCTCTGATTTAGTTATTTAAACAAATCGTTGGAGTCGTCGACTGATATCCCTGTCAGAATTTTTACTTTCTTTAACCAAGAGAATTGAACTTCGCGAATATACACTCATTTGCAAACTAATTTAGTTTCTCGAAAGACTCACCTGGAACCCAGCTGAATCTCCCGTTTGTGATGTTCTCAGGCAACTGAATGTGCTGCACCAGGCCGCCTCATGTTTCAGTCGCTACGATATTCGAGATATCGTGCTACATGTATATCTTTGTAATGTACTACCCATAAGGTTGCTGACTGCGCCTACCTGATGAGCCCCAATAAGGGCGAAACCGGTCGTGGGCTGTCGACGTATTTTCAGCAACCTTATGAGTAGTACATTACAAAGAATTGAACCTCAAACAACTTCGGCTTACCACCCTCGTTCGAAATTTAGACCCACTGCACTGAATTTTTGTCATTTACATGGAGCAAAACCTTTTTATGAGCGCATAGCACGCAGCTTGATGGAGTCGTTGATTAACGTCTCGTTTCTGCACGATCCCTCATCACTTTAAGGTTGCTACACTTTGTACGCTGGGATTCTTTTTTGGTGCCGTCGTTAATTAATATTCACGGTTTTTTAATATTTAATTCTCCCAATCAACCGTAAATAAACCACAGACAAACAATGCACAGTCATGTGATATATCTGTTTCGTCGAAATGAACCTGAGAATTAGGCTCGAAGACGTGCCACTTATTGGCCTACCGCATAGGAGGCAGGAAAGTCACAATTACGATGTTTTCAAAATTGGTTTTTTTCGCTGCTGAAGAGAAGCAATTTTGGAACACTTGAATGCATCTACGTGCTTTCAGTGTGCACTGTAAGTTTAGCTTTAGCGTGCCAATTACGATGGCAATATGTTCGGGATTCCAAGCCCACCGCGACCAAGAACAGGCTCTTCTGATGAGTTCCAATAAGGACGAAATTCAAGTTCATCTTTCATTTGTGCCCAGCCCGGATGGGCATTCCGGAGGGATGATTAAACATATTTCTCTAAAGTTTATTTCGGACAATTTTTAGGCCCACATATTACGTGAAGTTCAGGTGTTCTCTCCAAATACCTACCGTGCAAAGGAACTCTCTGGATGTTCTGCCCACGAAATTATCCCTATGTGATCTTTGTCCTCTAAATGTTCTTGAAGCCTGTTTACGTATACGTCGCCATCAGCCACACAGAATATCATCTACGGGAGTTTGATTGGTGCATAGGTCATTCGTAGCGCAATTGATCCCATTATTATTTAGGTAGCCAGAAAATTTCAGCTAGAATGTGGCCAAAGAAGTGTTGTAACGTAGGTGGCCGTCTATGGGTTACGCCTGCACTCAGCCTGCCAGACTATGCGATGGGGAGAAGACGGAGAACTGGGGACACGGCTGTATTGCCAGGACAAAACCTACAGGGCGTGTGCTTAATATACCGGATGACTAAATGGCTAAATATGGTCGTTCACTTGTTCGCCCCGTACAGCCAATGGTGGTGTTACGGTTGTGAACATTATCAGGCCCACTACGCTGGTTGTATGTTGCTAATTCGTGTTTGGTGAGAGCCGCCAACTAATCTGCTTTCAGGACCTGTCGCACCGATGGTGACCTTAGGGATGCGTCACTCTGCACATGTACTTTTTCCATGTCTGGTTGCGTCCTGACAAGAAGTCAATAGCCCGGCTGATGCGCTGGATAAGTGGAGTGCTACTGCATATAAGTTGGGCACTGTGTGTGTATCTGGACCGCGAACCACTGAGCCTTTTAATGTGTAAATCTATTCGTATGCGGTTTTTTAGTTACCCAATGAAAGGAATTACCACTTATGATTTTTGGCCCGCAACTGCTTTGTTTACATGTACATTGTCCGTCGTATTTAAGGACATTTTTCGGAGGTTATAAACGAAGATCATTCGGGCCTCTGTCCAGCTGTTCTTAATAGGTGAAAATGCCCTAGAATGTTGGTCACTCAGGTTAAATCACTGTCCATGCTAGTTTAAGTGAACTGCGACAAAAGTGACCACCTCACCTTTTCCCCCTATCTTACATTCCTTAACACGCTACATCAAACACCCGTTTTCTCCATAAGCTGATTCGCTCAAATCCAATGCAGCAGAGCTGAAAAGTCCCGGGTGAACTGGTAACAGCTCTATCCTCAAGAGTGAGGGTAAGTATATGATATAGGAGGAATAAATATGAACTGCATCACTGATATGAAGGGTCTCAAATTTTGGAGAACAGCTTCTGTGCAACAGATTGACTAGGAAGAATCTTTTTGGCGATAAAGATATTTTTAGACCCATTATCCTTTTCAGGCTATGGATGTGCAGCTGATGGTTATTTGACAAGGCAAGCACGGTTTCTCGACTTTCACCTTGAAACTTAGGCTTTATTAAACCCAATGAGATGTGCAACAAATATATACTGGCAAATTGAAATAACAGTGTCTAAGGCAGAAACCCTGCTTTGCTTGAAGAAGGATGCTCATTGCAGATTGGTGTTGCCCTGTCTGGGGCCCATTTTCATTCAGTTATCTGAGTAATTAAAATAGCAGGATATTGAAACTTGTTCCTTTTGATGATCCTTTGTAATTACCACACGGCCTGTCAACTTATACTCATTGTCATTTGTTCTCTCAAGGGGACCACCAGACGTGAACTGTTTCAGCTGAATTTTTGCGTAAAACTACGACTCACAGTTTTATATTGTCCGCATGCAGCTTGGACACTAAATGTTCATCAAAAATCAACGATGCTTCTTAATACCAATGAGAACCGAGTGAATTCGATTGATTCCTTTCTGCCGAATGGTCGGATCGACAGATTCACACAAAAAACCTGAATTGGTGCAGGTACGTAGTGGGTTTTCATAGTCGAACAAAACCGGAGTATTCCAACCCCAGGATATCATATTTTGCTGCTTCAATTAGCCAGGTTATTCATAAAGTAGTCCATATACATCTAATCGCTTCGCTAACTTGATTTTTTGTTTTCCGATGACTGGATGCCATAGTCTGGCTGTTCCGTTCGGTCGTGTGGCCCCGTTGCGTGGGTGGTCTCACACAGACATAGAAATGAAACAACCAATGGCCTTAGAGTGGAAGAACAGTAGGGCTTTAATTGGTCAGCGCAACCAGTGACGAAATTCGGGTTGATTGTAGGTTTCTACAGGCAAAGGAGAAAGTATTTTAAGGGGTATGGATAGAAATCCAGTCAAAACCATAGTATATTGTAAGTGGCCGATTTGAAATGCCACCTAACGTGGCGTATCGCGACAATGATAGCGTAGTAGTGTTCGGTTACGGATCACTAATCTGGAAGCCTAACTTCCCATACAGCCAAAGGATAGTCGGCTATGTTCGGGGATATAAGCGAAGATTCTATCAAGGCAACGTATTTCATCGTGGTACTCCGGAGAGGGTAAGTTACTAGGTTACACCTTGTATGTCATTTAGAAAAGAAACAGTCTTGTGAAACCTCTCGAGCTTGAGTGAATTTAAATTGTGATATCCTGCCACCACATTCCGTTCATTTTGCAATCATTCCACAGTTTAAATTATATCGCCCAACTACCCAAAAAGGCAGCATGCGTGACTGTACCACTTATTTGGTACCAGAAATTTTCTGAATGAAGGGGAGTTGGTTTTTTGCATACTCAGTATGTTTGACAGCTGCATTACAATTCGCACACACATAGGCAAAGCCAGTACTTCTTTGTTGATGCCCGATCACACCTACAACAAAAACGAAGGGCAATGTTCCTCAGCATAGGGGTTGTTCCTCCTTATGCGTCAAATTCTATTGGTACTTGCTGGTTAATTGACAGCTTACCCACTGCTGCCTCTGACTCGTAACTTTCTAGAAGTCTCGAATGTCTACTGGTGTTTCTGCACTCAGTCATCGTTGTCTTTTTCCAGAGGAAACATCCTCTGAGTGGCATGCATTTTAAGCATTCGCAGCAAATGCCGGATCACGATATATTGTGAAGATGATGTGTCAGTTTTCAGGTTAATTTGCGCATCCACATTGGTACGGCGAAGTCACCAGTTTCAGGGCACATCGTTCTTCATTCAGAAAGAATTGCAATAAAATTCACTGTACCTCAGCAATTCCTATAGTTTTGACTTCCAGCTGCTCACCGATTTCAGCCAGAATCCCATGCTTCCTCTGAGCTGTGTGGCACGATACAACAACTGCTGGCTTATTTATTGAACTACATATCGCCGAACGTGTTGCAGAAAGACCGAAACAGTGCTTACTCGTGCCCTTACGCTCGGCCTACCGAAATGGAAATTAGCGAATCATGGGGCGAATAGACCCACTCCGAGTGGGGTTGGCAAAGGGTCAAGTAACTGAACGAATTCACTTGCGTTTGTTTTTTGTATCCAGTCCACTGAGTTGGCTAGACAGCCGAGTCTTACTGTGAGCGCTGGTGGTTGTGGCAATGGTTGTGATATTAAGCCGACAGCTGGGTTTGCTCACTCTGACGGCGCTCCCGATTGCAAGCAAGCGAGGATGGCAAAAGTGCACACCCGACTGGCAGTTGAAACTTACCACGACTGATGCCTGTGATTAAGTTGGAAACGATTAAAGGTGATGTGTTTTAAGGCGAAACATGAGGTGATGCAAATTTATTCACTTCAAAGTCGCAACCTCTAGCAAACATATTAGTAACAACCCAATTGGCCGACAAGTAAAGTTAGAGACGCAAAATCTTAAAATGCAATAATCAGTGGACCACCTAAATGATATGTGGTGTGAGCTCCACCTAAATCTGTTTGCAGTAAGTTTAAAGTGGTTCTATAAGTGAACTGGCTGGTGTAGTTACTCGAATTCACATGCATGCATTACCATATACCCTCAGTCCAACAATAATTTAGGATTATCAGTCACAAATTTCTTCGACTTCTAAACTGGATGACATGTGTGTGAATGTGAACTTTATCACCTGACTAATGATGGTATCACACACCGAGTAAAACACAAATGGTTTGAATAGATTGAATGATACGTTATCCATACGCTTCATATGCATACGATTGGTGATGTGGTCGATGGATTCGAGAAACAGCAACATAGCTATCCTACGAGTAGACATACGTCATTTGGATTTTTGTTTGGTTACCTATGCTTACCTCATCAGTTAATTCACACCAGATAACACAACACTTGTGTTTACTCAGGTAACCGAAACTGTCAGCTGGAGCAGCCACTAGTTTCAAGATAGATCAACATTGCGTCGTGTCATCAGCCGTGGGTGAATGTCCGCAGAGAGGTTGGATACACTGGTACAGAAGGCTAAGTTTTGCCCAGCACCTGCTTCTTGTTCAGGTGCTCTTTCCTATCTCTACATTGTCATAGAGTGCTCCGTACGGATACTATTTAACCCATAGATTTTAATCACCATGTGCTAGTAAATGCTTGCTGATTGAGAGTTGTTTGACGGACAGTTTCTGACAGAATTCCTAGTGGTCGTCCAGAGCGTTTTTGGTCAGATTTATTGATCAAGCGACTGAGGGTGATCAGACGAGGATCGGAACTGATGTTTCATTACTAAGTACGGAGATGCATTGCTTGAATATCTGTATAGTTCTAAAGGCGCCAGGTTCGATGACGGATACGACCGAAGATGGAATGTATATGGCTTCCACAAATGGCGGATATTATTCCTGAATCTATGTACGAATGTACAAAAATCAGCCGGTTCATCTTATCTGTATCTGCCGTCTGCCATACACTGTCCTGTGTACGTCCGTAATCAGCCTGAATATTATTAGTTGGAAGACGACTTAGGGATAAGCCGTTGGTCTTACTGATATTCTGCTTTATTATGAATTTTATGCTAATAGTATCTCTACAACTGATATAGATTTAAATTTGTACCACTTATCTGTGTCTTCAAATGGACATGATTCCTTTATTACATCTCGCCTTCACTATTATAACTTGCTTGCTCCAATGAACATGCCTGACTCAATCTTTCCAGACAAGCAACCGTCTGGGGTGCCGCCCAAGCCTGCTTCATTGAAACATTTGTCTTACTGTGTTCGATTGTATGTGCGTGGTTCGCAACATCCGACGCATATTTAGCAGTCTTACAGATGTACTCATGGCTGTAAAATACATATCAAACTCGAACTATAATGGTCCCTCACTCCAATCTTACATAAGACTCCAACATTCGGTTTGGATTGGTCACAAACATGGAGACCTGTGATGCTCCCATTCCATCGAGTTGTATGACCACGGCCGAATGTGGATGGCGAGATTTATTGATTGTGTAGACCACGGGCACATAGACGTGGATCCTTGTGGTAAATCGGCACTTTGCAGGAAAGACCGCAACAGACATGGATTGTAAAGTATCGACGGTGTTGGTTTGCGGAAGGTAACACTAACGATTCCGTACTCTAGCCTTGCTACTGACCCCGATCCATATGGGCAACGATTAGAAGTGGTTTTGTACCGGCTCTCCATTTTACAGGCGAATTTTAGTGTGAAGGTAAAGTATATTAACTTGAACTGAAGCAAGGTAAGCTAACGTAAGGTTACGTTAAAACAAACCAAACTCAAATGGTTGCTCCTCAATGCGAAATTTGCCAATAAGTTTGTCTCGGTACATTAAATGCACGAATCACATAAGCTGATCATGAAACTTACACAGTGCAGTATTTCTCCAAATGAGCGGCCTACCAAATACGGTAAACCTCATGAAGTTATCTCCATAAACCTGAAATTAAAGTAGCCAAGAAACCTACGAGAGTTCAGTAATATTCATTAGTGGAATCATTATTCATTATGAACTGCGGCTACACTCGACTGTCCAAGGAAAACTGCAGCGAAACAGAAAATGGCAGAACTACACCTCTATGCTGATGTAGATAATTTACGCCTCGGTACGCCTACCGAGATGATCAGTGGAGTTAACTTGGCAGAATTCCTATGAATGTTCTACCACTGGTTGTAAATTCAGTCAGTATTACTTGAGCAACGAAAGGCAATTCAGCTGAACTATCTTAGATCACAAGTACATCATGGTCTGTGGAAAGAATTCGATATTGTCCGTCCAATTAGGAGCATGAGCTTGATTTCATTCCAAGCACAATGTTTACTTGCATGTCCGTAGAGGACGTCGCAGACATTCGTATGAGTGCGTAACGACGTGGTCTGTGAACAAAGGGCCTGGCGGTACGGTACTTCCAGAATGTCCAGTCTTGGGTTCGCGAAGTTAGCATAGCTAATTCAGGGAGGCACTTGTGCCATCTGTTTAACCCACTAAGGGTAAGCGTGTTGCATCGATCTGCATAAGACCATTCGTCCAAAAGCCTCGGTAAACTCGTTCCTAGCTAATCGGGTGTTTCTTCACCAATGACTACAAAGCCGGAACGTCAAAACAAACCAGGATGAAAAGCCATGAAATTTACCATGAGTGCATTCAGCGGTAGTGGATATAAATCTGCTCGAAACCTAATGCTGATAAAATTGATAACGTACTTACCATGATGCTGAATTTGTCCTCGTAGATATAAGGGACCAACACGGACTGTGTTTGAATTGGTTTCCGTTGGTCAAGGCAATAGAACAACAAGCCTCCGGAGTTAAATGGTCTGGGGGGAATTTACCTAAGTTGTATGCCCATATGCATCCAATGTCAAAAGCTACGGGTCATTGATCATGCATTATGCATGTAGAATCACTGTTTGCGGAAAAGACCACTGTTTTCCGTGTCCAGTTCAGAGTGGCACAAACAGAGTGTTGGTCATCACTTAACTCGGCAGGGGAGTGTAAGATCGATTACTAAAAATTCGGGAACTATCGGTACGACTGATCCTTTGGGATGTTGCCTGCATGATCCTTGCTGCGCATGGTTCGGTAAGCTGTGCGGTTTGACTAATACTCGATATCTTTGTCGTTCTTGTTGTCAGTTTTTATCCATATTTGTCTGAATGAGCTTCTAGAGGTATGGGCATCTCGGAATAATTGTGAGAAGTTGAGATCATTTTCTTTTCCTTTCCACTTTTATTCCTTAATTCACAACAAACACCCCACCAGAGTACTCCTGACAGCTATCACATTTGAGGTCATCTCACTTGCTTGAACGAACATAGATAAGACAAAAGCTGGTACTAGTTAACGAAACAATGTCTTAGTGACACGAGACCGTTTCCCAAAGTCATCGACCACATCATCAACGACAAGGTGTTTGGCGAAGTATAACATCCATTCACTCCACCCGCATTTTTCTTGGGGTGTGATACCGTCATTAGTCAGGCGGTAGATTTCATAATCATGTATACCATATCCAGTTTAGACGCCGAAGTAATCTGTGGTTGTTAATCCTTAGGTTTGATTGGACTGAGGGTGTATGGTGATGCCATCCAAATAAAAAGTCAGATAGGTAGGGCAATATAAATTGAATCCGAGATGGAAAAATAACCAACACATTGCCAGTCGCTAAGTGAATAAAGCCACCGAAGTTCCTCATCTAAACACACTAACGAACCAGATACCATTCTCCTGGGCGCCAATTAAATGTTTATGATTTGTGGCATCAGATTGTTTTTTTAGTTTGTCTGCCACATTTTTTTCTCTCTCTCTCTCTCTGAGGGAAACCGTTTGCTTATTAAAATTCCACTGAAAATGTTGTCATCCTTTTTTGGCCATATGCGTATGCATGAACATCAATCAGGACGAGTCACCCGAAGCATGTGTCTGTTGCATTCAACTTCGCGCCTGCGATGTTTTGACCCACATGATTCCTTCAAAAGTGCATGGGCAGTTGAATGAGATAAAAACTCGAGCGTACAGCAGTTGGCGACTACTTGAGAGTGTTTGACTGCGTGACTGTGCACAGGAATGTTGAACTCTTTGCGTGAGCTTGAAAATGTCAACGAAAATAATTATCACCCGAAACAACGCACTGGTAATAAGTATTGGGACATGACAATACCGAGGTTCTGATCAGCTTATTTGCACCAGGGCTTGTTCCCGGTTGCAGGTCAGGTGTAATTCATTAGCCACAAATGGAACAAATAACTGTGAGATTGTTACAAGCCACCGGGCTGGTTATCATAGCAGAACGAAAACGACAACATTGAGGCTGAAATTGAGCGACTCAGAGGTTAATACCATTCATAAGATCACAGCTGATTAGGGTAAAGTTAACAAGCACAGTCTCGACATCTTGATGTGTAAGTCTTGGGAGGACCGGTTTTTATCCAATTTATAGAGGACCATCAACGTGGGATGTTCAAAATATCACATTTATCACAAACTTAGGAAGGTGCGCTTTGCACAAGGATGTGAGCTTAGATTAGGAAGTCTGTGTCCTATGGGGAACAGCTAAGGGCATGGCACTTGATCAGCAAAAGGAATGAAATAAAGGCATGTATTCATCAAACGGGAGTACGACATCATCATTTGGAATTACTCAGCTTCCCTCACACCTTAACGAACGCGAGCCCACCAAGTGAACATACGTTAGCTAGTCTAGAACGGGACAGTATCTCCGCCACCGGAATCGCTTATGTATTATATTCTGCGGGGCCTTGTGTCACGTCCAACGAGAGTCACCTAGACTCAAATCAGAAAGCCACAGAGAATTCACAGCACCTTAATTTTGCATGACCTTTTCATGGCCTGTGCGAGCCATTAGTTAACAAAACATAGGTAAAGGAAATGACACGGTTTTCTTAGGCGAATGTTGGGAATGCGCGGTACCTGCAACAACCAGCTTAATGTGATGGAAATTATTTTCTTCTTCGATAATTTTGATCCAGTCAGCTTGATTAGTCGCAAATTGTGAAATGGTGTTGGTACCATTAGCAAAGCCTAACAGGGAATGGATCGGGACCGCTGTTATTCCATATAAACTAGAGACAACGAAGGTCATTCAAAGAATTCTAATCACGGCTAACATAAGAGTAGCCTTCCAGAAGGGAACACTGTGCTCTGCACTGGTGCAATTGAAGGATCGCCTTCCGGCAAAGCGAACCAGGGACTGTGTCTACAAAATTAAGTGTAATGACTGCACCATGGTTTACATAGGACAGACGGCCAAAGAACTACACATCAGATTAGGAGAGCATAGTAGAAAAATAAACAGGCCGCTGAGAAACGCAGATGAATATCAAGCGTAACTGAGAGACTCGGCGATTGCGGAACATACACTGGACACGGGACACAAAATAGATTTAGAAAATGTTGAGGTTTTGAGGCGAGGACTACGGTCCACGTCCCACAGACTGATCGCTGAGGCGGTAGAAATCGCCAAGCACCCCCGTGTTAATAGAATAGAGGGTGTGGAACTGGTAAGCATGTGGAGAACGGTTCTGGATGAGTCGAGCTGACACGCGTTGGTGTGCCGTCATCAGAAGAAACAGTGGTCATCATCTGGATTCCGCTTGACCTCAAACCCTCAAATTAAATTGTCGGAGCACTCAACACCCCACAAAAACCATGAAAATCTATCAGTGGCAACCGAGGTGAATCATCAACTGAAGCACCCTGAAGTGGAAGATTAACGAACCAAACCCTATCAGAATTAATTTGAACTCCCCCACCAATCCACCAAAGCAAGATTCTGAAAATTTCACTAACCGACAAGAGCCGTTAATTGACACTCAACACTGATCTAGTGTGACAATCTGAAGAGGGCTGACTCACTGATTAGTTCCCCGTCTGCCTTATAACCTGGCCGATTTACTGACCTGCTCACTTGGCCTGATGAAGCTGTTGTGTTAAAAGCGAAAAGTTGCCCCAATAAAACTACCGATTGTTTATCAAGCCTTTCTGGAACAACAGCAAACAGATTCTTCACATCATTGGTTCCTGCAATCAACTACAGCCCGCAGTGTGGTGAAGGTATTGGGGATCAAGCTTTAGAAGAAGCTGAACTTAACAACCATGAGTTGATATAACTTTCACCATCTTGTACATACAGACCTTTAATTTTAATGAATTTCGTTTCCAATGGCTAAAATGATAATAGGCAGGTTAAAAACTCTGGGAGAAACCTGTATGTGCGTGACAAGCATGAGATGCGGTCAACCCCGTGGTAATTAGACCGTTTGATCCTGGAGCTTCCGTGCGCACAATAATGCATTACTCCGTTTGGCACCTTCGGTTTTGCAGCAGGACTGGGATCATCTGAATGACCTGTCATCAAAATGTTTGACAAACGGTGAGGAGAAATTTTGACTATTTGGTTGCCTCCCTGCTAACTCCTTTTGCGTAAGCTTTTATACATACTTTGGACGGCACTTGGTCATCGGCTCTGAAAGGCGCCCATATCTTCTACCAGTGTAAGTATCATTGCAACTGCAAACAAAGTGGTAAAACACATAAGCGATAAGAAGACTGAGCGATACATCCGATCTTTTTCGCTACTTGGCCTTACAATATGAATCCTCTATTCAACTGTGTTCCCCAATCTCAGCATATATATAACGCCAGTGAACAAGAAAACGGTGAATCAGCGATGTCAGATTTCTCCCTACTCACCAATTTGCCTAATTCCGGAGAACACTTAAAGGATTAAGTTTTTCCGGTTGTAATCTCTTAAAAAACAAACGCTTTCATTATAAAAGAGCAAAGTCGATGAGTCGGCATAAGCTGTTGGTAAAAGGATCTTATCATTATCTTTTAAAGTCTTATCCTCTAGGATGAACAGGATGGATATTATTAAACTGTCCATGTTTATCAGCCGTTTAAATCCCACAGACATGCGCTAATAAATTGAAGTCTGTTATTAGGCTGATCGATGCGATGACTGCAACCGTTTCAGGACATTTCCTCATACCACAAATCGCGTTGTGCGACTAGGTGTGTGGAACGTTAGGAGTCACATGAATCAACCCTTTTGATTGGTTAATCATGTGACTTACTTCATTTTGTTTTTATTTTGCTGACTTTAATTTCCCCTCCCAGGTACGATGATTTGCCACCCAAGCTAATCTTCCCTTATCATTCTTCTCAAACTAGAGGGTTGCTTGAAATAAAATGACAGCAGGCCTTTCGCAATAGTTCAGGAATCCCCTGCTGATCACCAGATCTCAGGGTAATTTCCCTATTTTTCCCCATGGACGCAAGTGAGGGGTTTCATCTGCATCTCCCTTTTTGGT